TCGGGCTGTGAAATTTTCTTTACTACAGTATGCCGAGAGTCTATTAGTAAATTTTTTTTGAGCAAATTTATTATATCGAGAGGATTTTTATATAATCTTCAATATACTTATATCGAGAGTTCACTATGACGAGAGTAACTTGTATAAAGTTCCTTTGCAAATGCAGTTCCTACTTCAGTATCAATATTATCGTAATTAAGATTAAATAAGTTAAAGTAGTGTTTATATGAAGTGTTTCTGCTAACGGTTTTCCTCCTTCATTGCCAATATTATTACCGTTATGGCTTAAGGAAGTTAAAGTAGTGTTTTTATAACTGTCTTTGCCAGTGCTTTTCTTCCTTCAATATCGATATAATTTTGACCATTATCTATAAGATATAAGGTAGCATTTGCATAAAGTGCTTTTGCAAACGCTCTTCCACTTCAATACCAATATTATTACAAATAAGCTTAAAAAAGTCAAAGTAGTGCTCTTACAAAGTGCTTTTGTTAATGCTTTTCTTCCATCAATATCAATATCATTATTGCTAAGATATTAGTTTATGTATAAAGTGCTTTCGTAAACTATTCCACCTTCAATATCAATATTATTATCGATAAGGCTTAAAGAAATTTAAAGCAATGTTTCACAAAGAATTTTTGCTATTTCTTTGAAATTAACTTGATTTTGATGAAGACATAAAGAAATAGTGGTGTTATTTCTACAAAGATTTTTATAATACTCGCATCTTGCTAAAGCATGTAGGCATTTATCAATTAACAACCTAGTTGTATATTATGTTAGCTATGTGTGAAAGGTCAAATTTAATTTTGCAGCATTGAAGAGGGTGTATTATGTCTTCGTATTAATTGCAGTTTGGAATGTGTATAAAGACCTGGGAGGCATTTGTAAATTACTAGTTATTATAATATGGCAACAAGTATAATGAAAATCATAACATTCAAGAAGAAGATGAATCACTAAATTTAATTTATAAAAAGCGAACTTAAAAGTCGGGGTATTAGCTAATGGGTTTCACTTCTAGCACAATTTTAGTCACACCGGTTATATGTATTTAAATAATCCAACTATCTAAACTTGGCTGCATAAAAATGAATCATATTATATAATCTAAACATTTTGTGCTTTTAAATGATATCTAATGTTTTTTATCTCGTTTCCATTAATACACAAAGGCTATTTCGTTTGTCCAACTATTTTCACTGATGTGGTAAAGTTTATTCTAATATATATGTAATCTTACTACGATATATATGTATTGAGATTTTTTATATTGTGTTATTTAAGAATGAAAATATGAAGATCATGCAAGAAGAAATATTTGGTCCCGTTGTAGCCATTGCAAAATTCAAGACTGTCGAAGAAGTAATTGAAAAGGCGCATCTGACAAAATATGGCTTGGCTGCAGCTGTCTTCACTAAAGATATGACTCGAGCAATAAAAATCTCAAATGTGTTGAAAGCTGGCACAGTATGGGGTAAGTCTTCTAAATTTTCTTTCCTCATAACTGCAACTTTCACACGTGATTACAGTATATATAATTTTATTATCTATTTTACAGTTAACTGCTATAATGTACTTAGTGTCAATACGTAAGATTGGAAAATTTCAATTCTCTTATTTGTCATTATCTTGTGTTTATTCATTTTACTTATCTTCTATTTTTTAAAAATTAGCCCATTTGGAGGTTACAAAGAATCTGGAATTGGTCGTGAATTTGGAAAATACGCGTTAGAATTATACACTCAAGTGAAAACAGTTCAAATCAATCTTGAATCCAATAAATAATATATTGATTTAGATTTAAGTAGGATAATTCTTACTAAAAGCAAGTATATATAGCTAGTATAGTTACTTTGTTTGAATATGTAGCTTTTTGTATATAGATTAACATGCGCTCTTAAGATTTAAATTTTAAATTGTTTTTTGCGCATTAAATAATTTGCTGTTA